AAGGTGGCAAATTTCAAATTATGTTTAATGATGAATATACCTAGCATCTATTACTTTGCTAATTAGCTTAAATGATCACTTAACTTGTGTTTAAACAATATTTACGTTGGCCGAGCATAGAATTAATTGCTTCTCTTGTAATTTTATTTTTAAAGTGAACTATCGCTGAAAACAATCATTTCGGGAACGTTTTTGTGAGGTTTATAATAAAATTAAAATATAACTTAGTATTTATTTTTTACCCTTTACAATAGCGGAAGTATGTAGTTAATAATAAGAAATTAAAAAACTCTAAGAAAGTTGCAAATAAAATCATTTAAAAACAAAATATCCCTACAAATGAACCTATGGGACTATTTTTTTGAATTAAATTATCTAAATATGCCAATATCGCTGACTTACATATAAATAAACTAGCTCTAGGTATAAGAAGTCCGCCTGTTTTAATATTTCCAAGGCCTATTTTTAATATCTAAAATAATAATGTGTTATCTGTGATTTTTGTTATGTTCCCGGAAATGATAAGGAGTTCACGGAATGATGGGTGTGTTATCTGAATGATGATATAGATACACTTTAGGTTTATGAAATCATAAGCAAAATTTTTTGATGCCATACTTATTTATTTATTTGGCATGGGGTTTATTCTTAACAAAAATGTAACTTTAATTACTTCTTTGCAGTCTTTTAATCGATGTACACAGCCAAGTACAATTTTTAATAATCATATTAAACTTTTATAATTACCAATTACCAAACTGTTTATAATTAAACCAATTAAACATGTACCTATATTTAAATTGAACTTTTAAACAAAAACAAGCTTTCGTAATCATAATTATTAAACATCAAAAATATATAATAAAAAAAACAAACATTAAATCATCCTCATCGGACGATGATGAGTAATGAATGGTTTTATAAATGCTCCGTTTCTTTAATTTCAGCAAATCTTGTACATCAGTTGTATCCATATGCTCGTTCGGTTCAGGAGACTCCCTTGAAAGTATTCCCAAATTTATTGGTTCAGAGTTCGGATATAAACTACCAGATAACGCAGACATTTTCAGTTCTTTCAAAGATGTTTATTCGTTCGGTTGCGGTATTGTGATGTTGGATTATCGAGTAGATGTGAAGGATGTTAATATATTTTTTTCCAATATGGTTTTAGGATCGGTTTCAAATGAGCCCATATCACATGGGCTTTATGATCCAAATTTTCACTCAGGGTAGCAAAAGATCCAGATTGCAAACCATTGTCAACGTTTCGTATATAATATACGCCTGTATGAATAGATAATTGATTTTTTGCGAAATGAGTCGACTGGATTTTATTTGCGTACTGACAAGTTTATTTGTATCATTACCTACCTCTTCTTCAGTTAAATTTTCTTTCAACTCTTTTTTCCGTTTGTTGTAACTATAAATGCCATACAGACAGTGATGGGCACGTACCCGGTATATACCCGATTTAATATTTGCATAAATACCCAAGGTATGAACTATGTACTAGTGATGAGCACTATCGATAGTTGATAGTTCAGTTTACAATAGTGCTCACCACTGGTACATAGTACATAGTACATAATATCTACATACCTTGGCTATTTATCCAAATTTTAATAAATCGTATGGTTTACTATACTTAATAATGCTGTCTTCTTTTCTCTGTATTTTTATGCTTCTTTCCAAATTTTTCTCTGCTTTCGCTTTTTTCTCTCGGTCATCTCAGCAATGTTTTTAACTTTCTTTCAGCTTTTTTTTCTGATAGTATGCTCTATCCTTACTCCTTTTAATGTATCTTTCTTCCTCTGTTATCTTATCTAAAAACTTCCTTTTTCTGGCATTAGCTTTTTCTGTTTGCTTGCATGTAAGCTAAACTATTTTTTATAAGTTGTCTTTTTGGACGTTTTTAATTTTTTTTTTAACTTCATGAGATTCCATATTTCCTAAAAAAATAAAACATTTATTTAAAACTATTTAGGACAACATACACTAAATTAATTGACAAAAAGTATTAACAGTCATTTCAAGAACGCTCCGTCAAGTCCGGGGGCGTTCCCGAAATGACCGTTCCCAAAATAACTTTTTCAAATAAATGCGCCCTTTTTAGACGAAAGTCATCTTGACAGCCATGTTTGGCTTGTTTAAGGTATATTATTTAAGGTTAATATTTGTTATAAACACTATAAAACGTATTTTTTCAATATTACAAGTTAATAAAGGCATTCCCGATATGATGATATATTTATGTACGCTCTTTAATTATGGGATCAAATGGTACTTACCACTTATTTTTAATTATTTTGGCGAAAAATTCACTTGACATCCACGTTGTTTACATCTTTCACTACAACTGTGCCATACACATATTACGGCTGCGTTCAAAAAAGTAATTTTTTTGGACAATCAAAACAGCGTTCACTCATATGATGCTTACATTGTTGGACATAATATTTTGACTTGATTTTCTTTCATTTCTTTTTTTTTCTTTAATAATGCTTGTAATTACGTGATATTAGATAAAATTGAATTGAATAAGTAAGAAAAACTGTTAAATTTATTTTATTTTATGATTATTTCAGGTGTTTGTTTCTAAAGATTGCTACTTAGGACGCGTTCTCGAAATGATTTTTTGTACTTATTTATATAAATAATAATGAATATGGTTTACTTTTGAACTATATTATATTAGGTATAGTTAACGTAAATACACTTAAGTATTTACAAAACTTGATTTGTTAAAGAAAAACTGAATTTAGTCATTTATTTGCTGGCACAGCTAATTTTCCACCTTGGTGATTTTCTTTAAATAGAGAAAAATATCCAAAGAAAATGATGAACAAATGTTTTTTACAATTTTTTTATTATTCAAACGAATTACTGGTAATTTTTAATGTTCATTATGTTATGATGAACGTCCAAAAAGGCGTGTAATCTATACTTCTGACAACGTTGGAAGCCTTGTTTCTTTCGACGGTGTTTAGAATGTGAAAGTATGCTTTACTCGCTTTTTAAACGTAAACAAATCCGTCCATTTGTTTTGGTGGTCTGTGTATAACACTGGACGCGTAAACAAACACGATTTGTGCCTTTACGATGTGTTTTGACAGTTGTTGGGTGTTTTGTATTGTTTCGAGCCGTTATTTACGAAAACAGTTTAAAATGGTAAATACAGCGTAATTGCGACAGAAAAAAGTGACTGATACAAATAATTAATTTGTTGTCATTGTCCAGCTAATTTTATCTTATTTTCTAATAATAATGCAATATATGTATGTCTTCTAAACCTTTATAAACAAAAAATACATGACATGTAAAGTTCATTTTTGGGTTTGGTGGTGCTTGGATGAGTAAAATCATATAAAAAAGTAGTTAAATATAGGTTGCTTTACGGCCCAGAAGAGAAAGTATTCCTAGCGGATAATAATCTTCGCTTTAAAAAGAATTTATATGAAAAAAATTAAAATTTTTTGTGAACGTAAATGTTGTCCAATGGTGAATAATGTGAAAATAATGTGTGATGTAATATTTATAAATCCAAATTCGTTACTTTTTTACTCCAAAAATGTTCATAAGGCGATGTACTTTTTCTTCCATTGTGGCATTTGGCATAATTTCATCAAAATGAAGTTTTGCCCTCAAAAGGGCTTTTAAATTCGAATTCGTTGCTATTATTTTTGGCATAATTATCTTTTTATTTATAATTGACAAGTAAATTATCAATAATAAATATTATTGTAAATTTTACAGTGTCAAAGTATAACAGAAGTACCATTTTTAAATACTAAAAATACTAAGTCAAACTGGCCACCAACCTAACAAAAAAATACGAGTCAAGATAAAAAAATTAACTGTATAATATTGCATTATTTTTAGAAAATAGGACATTGACATAAAATTACCTTTAATTATTTGTATCAAAGTCACGTGGTGGTACTTTTGGATGTGTACCATATGTGTACCAGATTAGTCAGTACATACAGTCAGTACATACAGTTTTGTAAGCATAAATTTGAATTTTATTAGTCTAACAATTATGAAATTAAGTATTTTTTTAGATTTCGCTTGAAACTGCTACGCCACTGTACAATTCATCTTGTAGCTAAACAAACCCAATGATTTTGTAGCACATTACGCGTCCAGTGTTATAAGATATAAGGTATAATCCAAGAACACTTTTATATTTTTATTTTTAAACAAACCTTATTATACCTTTTTTCTTTGGTTGCATTTGGTACTTACATTGTTTCTTTTACTTGTTTGGTATAGGATTTTAAAATTGAGTCGGCGTTTTCTTTTGGAAAAAATTGGGAAATATTGAAATGTTTGCATTTTTTCATTTTATTCTATTCATTTTTATTCTACGAAAAAAATGCTAAAGTAAATTTTTCAATTTGTTTTTTAAATTTTTACGTATAATATCGTACACTGAAAAAGTGAATTTCCTGATTTTAATTATATGATATTATGATTATAATAAATATTTATTTTATTTTAATTCAGTAAGAATATTCTACCGGGCGCAAAAAACCTATCGTTTTATTTGACACATCAATTTATAAAATTATAATTTTGTAATTTAACTTTGGATGCTTTTAATAGACCTTTTCCAAAAAGGACCCAAGCGACAGTATATTTAACGTTTACGTTTATTTTCTTAAATCTATTAAATTAAAGTCAGTGTTTAGTTTTATTTTCTTTTATAATACAGTTTTTTTAAATTAAATAATGTTAAGTTTTTGATTGCTACTTTCATTAAAATGTGTATATTTTCCAAAAAAAAATCATTTTTTTAAGCCCTGAAAAAAAAAACAGGGTTTTTTGTCAATTTTTCCCTTTTAAAAACCCAAACCCTAACTTTGGTACCAACATTTTTTAACAAATAACAATTTTTTGCTGACGATCTTTCTTGATGACATTCTTTTTGGTATGTTTTTTCTTTGTTTACATTCGTTTGGTGATATTGCTTTATTGGTAAAAATAATTTGTGGGTTTAGGCTCTTGTGGACCAAAAAGAGGCTTCGACATCGAAATCTTCAAAGACAGCGGAGAATTCGCCAGTGGAAGGGGAGAACCCCTCAGACGGACACCAACTGCTATCGACTTCCTCTCAGAAAAACGACTGATTTTTTCATGAATAACTTACGTATTTTTTTAGGAGTAAAGTTGAACTGTATGTACATACACGTATGGCATTACTATTACTACTACTGTCTCTATCTATCTATCCCCCCTTCCTCTATTCCTACCCCACCCCCTTGAAGACACACTGCTTCGAAAAATATGTAGCTATTTGAGATTTTATACAAATGAAAAGGATAAAAATGTTACCCAGATAAAAATTATTGGACTGGTATTCCCTGTATTCTTGCAACGAAATTTATCATTCATTTCGATTTAATACTCATTTACTTTTTTCAATATTTTGTACTAGTCCAATGGAAATCTTGTTTCTTTTTTAATTTTTAATAAGAATTACCGAATGTTATGGTGTTGAACAAAAGACACCAACAAAATTTGTGATGGTTTTTTCATAACGATAAACCGTTATGGCTATTATTGTTATATTAAATTAATTTTGAAAATTATTTTTATTAAATGTGTTAAATCATTAAATATTTGTTTTATTTTCACATTAATACCTACAATAATTATTATGCTTTGTCTTTTCCTGATAAAAAAAATCAAATTGAGCAAATAACCTCACTTTGCCAAGATCTGTTGTAATAGAACATATAGAAAAATATTGTGTGAAAATTTGAACCGGTATATTTTACCAGTAGTGCAAGTATCATAACTCAAATTTTGAGAATTTTAACGATTTTTGTTTTAAATTCTGTTTTAATTTAAAACTTTTAAAATCCAATAATAATTATAGCCTATTATTATAATTATTATAGCCTATAGATTTTATAACAAGTAAATAGCTAAATTTAAAAAAAACCTATAGGCTAGGAAACAAAATCTTTTTTGCGAGCTTACAAGCGAGTGCTTAAATTAATGAGTGCCTAGAAAAGTTTATAAACGAGTGCATACTATACTTTTTCTACGACAAATACTTATTATTATCCAAAAATGATTTAAATTATTTGTACAGAGCGCCATCTATAAAACAATAGAGGAATCTGTGTTACCGTCAAATGTCAAATTTGTATGTGTTATAAACAGATAATAAATCAAAATGTATCCCTTGAAAATGGATTTAACAACAGTTTTTCACAGTTAAAGGAAAGAAAATGTTTTATTAGCACTTTACGGTGGAGTCCGAGCCCGACTTATATAAGTTATATCTAGTTTACTGCCGGCGAAATTAAAAGGTCAGTACAATGTTAATATAAACTTTTCAAATATTGGCGTTGAGAAATTATTTAATGCTTTTGTATTAAGATAATAAAATAATTTTCACAGCTAGTAAGAAGAGCACTTTATTTTAACTATTGTATGACATTTGAAAACTGTCAACTAACTTAAAGCCAACTTCAGCCCGTGACTAAAAACCTGTTGCTAACTTCAGACCGTGACTAAACTGCCGTAAAGCCACAACTTGTCAATTTAAATTTAAAAAGTCAATTGGTGTCATGGAAACATGTAAGATAATGGGTGTTTTAAAGATTGGGGTAGAAAAAACATTTTAAAAAGTTTAGTTTAGCCGTACTTGGACAGATGACGCCGCTAAGAATAGGTACTATGCTCCACACTTCAAAGTCCCACCACGTGACCAAGTACGGAACGCAGTCTTTTGATAAATTGTCATTTAAGGCTTTTCAGGTTATGTATCTGTCAAAGTATAGTCAATGCAAGAAATAATATTTATACTGTTACCATTTATGTTTAAGCGTTAAAAGTTAATAAATCTTTATAGTAGCACAGTAACAATGGTTGGTTTAAGAGTTTAGGAGTATAAATACTGCATTTAATGAAATTCTAAAGTGTATAGTGCCAAATAAGTAAAATTTTTTTGCATTTGGTCTACATATATCTGGTTTTATCCATTAAATAGTTTTAACTAAACGGCATTTATTAAAAAAATTTAGCTTGTTTATTATGGAATAAGAATATCTGTATCAAAGGTAGGTTAATATATTATAACAAAAAATATCATCTAATTTTGAAATTTTAAGGTTAGAAAAATCTATTTTGATCAAAATAAATAAGTATTTTGGATTATTTGGAAGAGTGTGTTAATATGGTCATATAAATATAGATATACTAAATAATTGTTGAATATGGTTCAAATTAAATTAAAGCTTTTATACTCCTAACAACAAAACTTGTGCATACCTCGGGATCCCTACTTTAAGTTAGATTATAAGGAAACTAACAAAGAGATACATGCAATGTAAAAATATTTAATACTCCCATAACATGTGATTTTTGAAATTTTTAAAAGTTATAATGATTTTTTGATGAAGATAAAATTCAGTTGAAGCTTTATAAGTAATTGTATTGACAAAACTTTATGTAGGTATACTTTAAGCTGGATAAGAAAAAATACTACAAGTAAAATATTAGATGGAGTATACTGTGGTTTTATTTAAATTTTAGAATTTATAAGGTTATTTATACCTAATGATTGTTCGATGTAGATAAAATTTTGTCGAAGCTTTTATAGGTACTTGTATTGACACTATGGGTAAATAAGCTGACAGTGTAAGGAACTTTAAGAAGGTTAGCTATTGAATTTTTAAAAAGAATTTACAGTTTTTTAAAATTAAGTATCTAATGGTTTTATATTTGAAATGTTTAATATTGCTTATTTCCAAGAGCCAGTTGTTCAATTATGATGTCTATTTTGTTTTACTCCGGCATAAATATTTTCAACTGTAAAACTTAACTATTTTAAGATTTTTAAAATTAATTAAATATATAAAGGGGTTAATTTTAAAGAAGGAATCTAAAAACAACACCTTAAAATTATTAAAATTTGCAAATTATTAAATAATTTTAAATAATGTTTTTTATTATTTTACAAATTTCCAAACTTATTTTTTTTCTATATGTGAGTTTTTGAACTTTTATCGATTTTAGATTCTTTAAATTTTTATTTAAAATATATTATTTTTTGTTTATTTAATTAATCAAAGACGTTTATATGTATTTTCTTAAAATTATATTTAAAATTAAATTGTCTCATTATTTATGAACACCATGTATAATTCTTAATTATATAATTACAAAATAAAACTAATAATATTTTACATACACACATATACATATATACAATATAATTTATTATGTAGGTACTATATTACCTAATCGGGCTCACTGATCCTGATGAGTGTTATATTGAACTAAATAAGGTATACCTATACTTATAAGTAATATCTTTATCAATACAAAAGGATGTGTGTCATTAAGGTTACTTGTATTAATTTAGTAATTATAAATATATATAGACCCCCAAATAGTAATTTTAAACTATTTTTGGATGTCTTGGAAAAAGTTTTTAATGATTTAGGTGTGTCTACAAAAATTGTTGTAACAGGTGATTTTAACGTAAATTTTACCCATTTTAGTAATTCTACTTTTTTATTTATTATTGTTAGATTTATTTTTGTTCATTGGTTTCAAACAACTATTTTATTTACCTAGTCAAAATTCAAATTGAAAATATTTATGCCGGAGTAAAACAAAATAGACATCATAATTGAACAACTGGCTCTTGGAAATAAGCAATATTAAACATTTCAAATATAAAACCATTAGATACTTAATTTTAAAAAACTGTAAATTCTTTTTAAAAATTCAATAGCTAACCTTCTTAAAGTTCCTTACACTGTCAGCTAATTTACCCATAGTGTCAATACAAGTACCTATAAAAGCTTCGACAAAATTTTATCTACATCGAACAATCATTAGGTATAAATAACCTTATAAATTCTAAAATTTAAATAAAACCACAGTATACTTATATTTTACTTGTAGTATTTTTTCTTATCCAGCTTAAAGTATACCTACATAAAGTTTTGTCAATACAATTACTTATAAAGCTTCAACTGAATTTTATCTTCATCGAAAAAATCATTATAACTTTTAAAAATTTCAAAAATCACATGTTATGGGAGTATTAAATATTTTTACATTGCATGTATCTCTAAAAGTTGTTAGTTTCCTTATAATCTAACTTAAAGTAGGGATCCCGAGGTATGCACAAGTTTTGTTGTTAGGAGTATAAAAGCTTTAATTTAATTTGAACCATATTCAACAATTATTTAGTATATCTATATTTATATGACCATATTAACACACTCTTCCAAATAATCCAAAATACTTATTTATTTTGATCAAAATAGATTTTTCTAACCTTAAAATTTCAAAATTAGATGATATTTTTTGTTATAATATATTAACCTACCTTTGATACAGATATTCTTATTCTATAATAAACAAGCTAAATTTTTTTAATAAATGCCATTTAGTTAAAACTATTTAATGGATAAAACCAGATATATGTAGACCAAATGCACAAAAATTTTACTTATTTGGCACTATACACTTTAGAATTTCATTAAATGCAGTATTTATACTCCTAAACTCTTAACCAACCATTGTTACTGTGCTACTATAAAGATTTATTAACTTTTAACGCTTAAACATAAATGGTAACAGTATAAATATTATTTCTTGCATTGACTATACTTTGACAGATACATAACCTGAAAAGCCTTAAATGACAATTTATCAAAAGACTGCGTTCCGTACTTGGTCACGTGGTGGGACTTTGAAGTGTGGAGCATAGTACTTCGTAGGTAGGCAATCAGTCGATTTAACACTGGTTGCCTACCTACAAAATTTTCTAAACTGCGCCATCCATTCAAGTAGAACTGAACTAAAGTGGCAAAATTTTTAGTACCAATATATTTAGTTCAGACATTTTAACATGGATAACGCCATAGAAATAATACTATTATTTCTATGGATAACGCTTTCAAAACTTGTGTAGATAGTCTACTGGTCTACAGACGTTTGTTATCTGGGTTGCCATTTACAAAAGTTTAAAAGCGCCATCTATTTAAATATTGCCGAACTAAAAAGGCAAGATTTAGTTTAAAATTCTTTCAATGATAAGGATGTCATTTAATTATTTTTATTTATTTTTGTATTTTTGTGTGGGACCCCCTATGTGCTTAACATTATCCTAATACCATAATAGTTTTTATTTTTAAAAGCAAATTTTTAATTAGAAATTGCCATTAAAATGTACTTGGTCAGTTGTCGTATAGATGGAGTGGGTGTAGTGTCAACAAATGTCAAGTGTGTAGTCAAATATCAAATATCCGCACCGCAGATTAAATTGCTGGATAAACACGTAACAGTTTATAAATTGTTATGAGAATAACGTTAATCAAAATCGAAAATGGCTACAGTTAATCCGGACGTTGTGCAGAAGCTGAAAAATGCTCAAAAATTGCCGACAAGACAAGAAGGGGACGGTCACGAAATACAGGTATTTAGCGGTAAATTTAGCGTTAAAAATTGTTAATTATTGTAATTTTAGGTGGAAGTGAGAGAAGATGAGGAGCAGTCGGTTAAATTTCAAGAGATAATCGATTTGTTAGTAGCAGCTGGTTATTTTCGTGCTAGAATCAAAGGCCTTTCACCTTTCGATAAAGTTGTGGGTGGAATGACTTGGTGCATAGAATCTTGCAATGTGGATGTGGATGTTGATTTACTGTTCCAGGAAAATTCCACTATTGGACAAAAAATGTATATTTAACCTGAAAAACTTAATTTACATATCATTATGTTATCATTTTTTTTAGTGCCCTAACAGAGAAAATAGTAGCTGTTTTGCCAAAAATGAAGTGCCCACATAGAATAGAACCCCATCAGATACAGGGACTTGATTTTATACATGTTTTTCCAGTTATACAAGTAAGTCACATAATTTTTTTTTTTAAAGTACCTACTGTAAAACTGACTAGTAAGTACATACAAATATATATATTTTCTACATAAAACTTTTCAGTGGCTAGTTAAAAGATCCATGGAGTTCAGGCAGGAGATGTCTGCCTTTGTAAGATTGTATGCCGTCAATCAGTTCAATAAAGAGTTCACTTTAACTGATAAAAATGCAGAAATGCAACAAAAAGTCCTAAAAAATGTAAACGTTGTTAGTGAAATTTATAAACCAAATCGTTATTATAAGAGGAAAAATGCACCACCCGCTGATATACAGTCCAGGGTACAAATAACCTTATTGGAGTATGGTTATAGGGGGAGAGAGGGGGAAAATTTACAAACAAATGAAAGGGAAGAAGAGAGTTTGGAGAAAAAACAAATTCAAGAGGTATTTTGCTGTTTTATGGGTGATTCTAACAACTAAAATTAATGTTAAAGTTTTGGTAGAATGGCTCTTACATATTGTAATTTTTATATATGTGCTGTGTTTTTGCATGTTTATTTGCTTTTGTGTGTTTTTAGAAAAAATTGCAACAATTGTTGAATAACTTAACCATTGCTCAACAGGTAAGGTTTTTATTTGTTTTTTTCTTTACCAACTGATTTTACATTCTTTTTTTACAAATTTTAGGAGATTATTAACTATGATGATCTAAATGATGAGGAAAAAGAAAATTTGGCGAAACATTACTCTATTCTACAGTCAGAATTAAAGGTAATAAATATAATAAAAAATTAAATCATGTGTACCTACTAAAATTAATTTATTAGGATGGTGGTGTGAAATCCAAAGAAGAAAGTCACTTGGCAACTCTAGAAGAGCAAAAGAAAATTTTAGTCGGAAGTATACATAAATTAGAAGAAACAAACAGAAAAAATCAAGAAAGAATCAAAGAAAATAGTAACACACTAAAAGAGATAAGACTGAGGCAGAAAGAGGCGAACAAAGCTTTAAAAGAATTAGAAGAAAATGAAGCCAAAGATCCAGAGTAAGATTTGTTGTAATAATTTTAAAATTTAATAATACATAATTTGGTGTACTCCTTGACCTCAAAAACCCTAAAATCAATATACAATATGTCATTTTTACAGCAGTTGTGAAAAACCCAGTATGGAACCAATAGGGACCCTTGTGGTACACCTTCTGTAACTGGGTTTTAAAATTTCCAAAAAAATTAAGCCGGCGCACAGTGTTTCAATTCTCGAAAATATCGGCAAAACCTCAAAAATTTTGAGTTAGATGGGTAGTTAATACCTGTCTCCATCCTGTATTGAAAAAAAATTATATAAAATACGTATATTTTGTGTTGTACATCAGTTTAAACTTGACGCTTTCAGTTAAAGGTACTTTACACGCGATCGCTGCGGAAAATTGTTTATTGTTTAAAAGTAAATAACTTGTGTTTGGTGTGTCCGATTGTTATGCGGTTTGATGAAGGGTGATCTTCAAGGTAATACCTATGTAAAATTCAGATATGTATTTGTTTTTCGTAGATTTTGCTTGTACCACCGGTTATTGTAACCGACAAGATCGGTCTGTTAAAATCGCAAACTTTGAATCGAGCTTTTAGAACAATGGAGCTACACAAATTGTAATGAATTGTAAGGCATTAGTTTAATATCCGTTGAATAGCTTGGAGTTTTGTCTATCAAGCCATCAATAAATTATCTGCCCCAACTCGCCCCCGGCTCTTTAAAACTACATGTTCTTGGGCGCTCAGGCACGGTTCTGGTAAAAAACCTCGCGATTTTAAGCCTATGTCGCGCGCGTATCTGTGTTTTTGCTTTACAAAATATAAGATTTTTTTTATTTCTGGGTTGCGTTTATAACGTTTACTCGATTCACTCGGATTTAACTCAAAACGTTTATTACAACATCGGTGTCTAGACTTTCACTTGCGTAAATCGTTCGTGACTACTAAGATATTTAACACCGATTTTTCATATTTAACCCACCTCTTGTAGATGCGTTAAAACAACTCCGCATGCGCATTGTAGTGTGTTAATGTCAAATTTAAAATGTGGTTATTTGTGTTGACAATTTTTTTAGTGAATTAAGAAATCGTTGCTAAAATATTAAGTAAAATAAATAATAAAAATTTAACATACTTAGTATAAAATCTGTTATATTTAAATTTTATAAATAAATTTTAAAATTTACGGGTTTTTAATTAATTTCAACAATTTTTTTATAAAATGTCCGCCATTTGAGGTCCACCATTTTGAATTTTGGAATTCTGATTCCAGATTCATTACCAGCGACCCCAAAAACCCCTGTATGGTGATTTTCAATTTATTCCGTCAATTTTTTGACAAAAATGTCCGCCATTTTGGATCTACCATTTTGAATTTTGGAATTCTGATTCCAGATTCGTTATCAGCAACCCCAAAAACCCCTGTATGGTGATTTTCAATTTATTCCGTCAATTTTTTGACAAAATTTGTCCGCCATTTTAGATCTACCATTTTGAATTTTGGAATTCTGATTCCAGATTCGTATCAGCGACCCCAAAAACCTTTATATACGGATTTTTAGAAGAATCCGACTACTTGATACTTTTCCGAAAATTTCGAGAATTGAAACACTGTGCGGCGGAAAGAAACGGAAAAATTTGGAAAAATTGACTTCCATTTTTTTATTTGATTATAAAAAATGAAAAAGTAAATTTTTTCTAAAAATTTATATTTTTAGCAGGGTTCCCACACCTCCTAAAATTCATAAAATTCCTAAAATTTGGCTTAAATCATAAAAACTCCTAAAATTCTCCTAAAATTGCCATCAATCTCCTAAAACTCCTAAAAATTAAATATAAGTAGGCCAACTTGACTGCGTTTAATTAAGGTAGGTAGTTGTGCTAAAAAATTCTTTTTTAAAAAGTAATTTAAAAAATATATATTTTTGGGTTCTAGTTTATTAAATTCTTTTTAAAATGATATAGGTATAACAACCTACATTTTTCTTAAAAAACAACAAAATATACCATAAAACAAAATCATTGTCATTTTTAGCCATATTTCGTTAATTTTCAACAAAAATATACCGTGTTATATCAAACAAAAGGATTTTTAATTTTCTTTAAAATGATAGCTAAAATAGTAAACAATCTAAAGAATGTTTTGCTGTATCATGCACTTTATATTTTTTCTATTATGAGATTTTTTAGTAAGAATAACATTACAATTATTGTTAGTTATTAACTAAACTGTTAAATTTTTTTTTCAAAATATAAATATAACATCATTAAACTTTGGCTTACTTTTGACGCTTTTTTTTAATAAAATTAAAAGTGTGGTGAAATTTCTACTTGTGTATATACAAAAGTAGTAATTTTACCTTATTTTTCATTTTATTAAAAAAAAACTCGTCGAGCGATTTGGCTAAAAATCTAGTCAATATAACCTATTTGTACAAAAGAAGTGATATTTATTTATATTTTTGTTAAAAAGAATTACTTATTTTTTTCTTATTTTTTATGTAGTTGTTTTTATTTAATTAAATAAATTCATTTGCATACTTTTTTCTCCTAAAATTCTCCAAAAAACCTCCTAAATTCCTAAATAAAATTTGTAATTTAACCGTGGGAGCCCTGCAATAGCTAGGTATACACTGATATCAAGAAAAAAGTGAATTTCCGATGCTGATTATAATCATATAATATTATGAATATAATAATTATTCTTTTTATTTTAATTCATTTGAAGAATATTCTACCGGGCAGAAAAAAAAACTTATTCAATAATTGTTTTATTTGACTCATTGATTTATAAAATTTAATTTTTTAATTTAACTTTATAAATCATTCATTATTTTGTAGTTGGATATTTTTAATGGACTCCCTTTTGCAACCCAACTTAAAGTATATGTAACGTTTACGTTTATTTTCTTTCTTAAATCCATTAACTTCAATTCAATGTTTAGTTTTATTTGTTTAATAAAGGATATTTTTCTTAAATTAAAATAATGTTAAGTTGTTGATTGTTACTTTTATTAAAACGTATATTTTCAAAAAAAAAAACAATTTTTCCAAGATCTGCAAAAAAAACGTTTTTCCCCAATTTTGCCGTTTTTTTTTCGAAACTTTAAAACCCTAACTGACTTTATTTTTCATTATTTTTTTTACTTCCACCTTTAAAACATGTTTCCATGACACTAAGTAACCTTTTAAATACACATTGACAATTTATGGCGTTTTAGTCACGGGCTGAAGTTAGTATTAATTTAGTTGACAGTCAAATGTCATACAATCGTTAAAATAAAGGACCATTCTTGTAAAATAAAAATTTCAGGAAAAATTGAGCCGACTGAAAAAACTCGTTTTTTTCGCAAAAAAATGACTTTTCTAAGGATTATACGGAAAAAATGCAAAAGTACTTGTAGTACTGTATTAACTTAACTATCGTTTCTTTAACACATTTATAAAACGAGAAAAAACGTTTTTCACCAATTTTGAAGTTTCTTTTTCAACACTTTAAAACCATAACTGTGACAGTATTTTTTACTTTTTAGGAACGTAAAGGAAGTGGAGGAACTAGTCATACTAAATGATAAATTAAAATCTGAAGAGTCTCAATTCAGGGAACACTGTAAAGCTGAAATGGCCAGACTACAAAATTTAATACAGTACAAAAATAAAAATCATTTTAAAACTTTTTTTAAATATATTTTGTTTTTAGAGAGTCCAAACAGGCCAAAACTCCCACCGGAGACACCACAGAATTATCAAAAGAAATCGAAGAAAATTCAGCCAAAGTAAAATCTGCCAGATTGCAATTGGCGAAGAAAAACAGAGTGGTTGCTGGACTGCAAAGGCAACTCGATGAAGTTCCTAACAGGGCTGAGCTGGCTCAGTATCAGAGGAGGTTTTTGGAGCTGTATAATCAGGGTCAGTTTAAATATATTTTGTTGTTTTTTTATTTTATTTATTCTTTTAGTTGCTGCAAAACATAAGGAGACCAAGCAGTATTACACCTTGTATAATACATTGGATGACACTAGACTCTACATGAAGAAGGAGTTGTCCTTGTTGAACTCCATATCCGACAGTTATCCAGAGTAACTTTGGTCTTTAAATTTCTAATAACTAGAAATAATTATTTATTTTTTAGAGCGATGCAGTCTTCCAGCGGCAAAGAAGAGTTCCTAAAACAATTTCAAAACATCGTCGAAGGTGTGCACCAATCGAAAATCAAATCGGAAAAAAAGTTGATGGAAGAAAAATCAAAACGTGACCAGTTGAGCCAATCGTTGCACTCTCTCGTAGAGCAGCAAAGAAAATACGTTTCCACAGTAAGACAATTGACCGTTGAGTGTCGAAAATACGAAGCCCTTCTTGCCAGAACAAGTAGCAAATAAGATGTAAGTCTGCAGGGTGTTCCAAATTATCACCACCATCGGTTTTATTTCTAAAACCTTCGAATTTGGTCCATGCATTTTTAGGTTTTAGGGTGCTAATAATTTGAACGCCCTGTAATAAAATACTCAATGACATGTGATATATTATACCTAAAAGATTCGTTTCGTTTTTTGTTTGAGTTGAGTTTTAATAATTATTTATTGTACGTCTTTTAAGAGGTTTGTTAGTACGGAACACTTGAAGTGTAGAATGGACGTCAAGGACATGCGCAATACGAAAATATGGTTGAATTTACTATTGCGCAAGTCCCTGACGTTCCGTAGAAACAGGCCTAAGGTTTATGCCCGTCAAATTAACACATAAGTAAAAAAATTCTCTCTAAAACGTCTTTACCAATCTTTATGAAATTTTGTATAAAAATACTTCAACTTAAGTGTTTGAGGGGTTTTCAAAAAAATATTTTGAAAGCCCTTTAATTAAATAATAAAAATAACTGTTAGAGTATTTTTTTTAAGTAAATTAAAAATATGGTGTTAAAGACCGTATTTTTGTTAGTATACCCTAAAAATGTTGTACAAATCAAACGAACAGTAACAAAGATACAGCGCTTGAAAGTCGGTAAAAATTTTTTGATTATTTTGCTGATAAATGGTCATTTTTGACGACTTTGAAGCGCTGTATTTTTGTTAATGTTCGTTTGATTTGTACAACATTTTCAGAGTTTACTAACAAAAATACGGTCTTTCATAGATTTTTTTACTTAAAAAAAATGTCCCTTTAAACATTTTTTTTTTCGAGCGTATTTTATTATAAAATTCTCGAAAAACCCTTGAACACGTAAACTGAGATATAAGTTAAAGTATTTTTATTCAAAATTTTATAAAGTTTGGTAAAGGCGTTTTAGAGTTGGATTTTGACGCGCAGTGTATGTTACGGATAAAGCAAGAATAATAGATAAACCTAGGTTTAACCCGGTTTTTTAGCATTCCTACTGATTAATGTTATTATGTATATATGGTTTATACATGACTGAAAGTTAATTGTGCAATAGAGATTTTAAATGATTTGTATAATATATGTTTATATTGTTTTTTAAGTATAACAATTATAATGAATAATAAACAAAATGCTTTATATAAAAAAGTCTTTATTTAAATCAAATTCAATAAAAAAAATGGTGACGGAATCGAGTAATTATGAGTAGGTGGTGTTAGCAATAACTCACCAGCAAAAAAACAGGCTACCAGAAATTGGCCACAACTCTAATGTTCATTTTCTCGCGAATTTTTTAAAATTGTATGTTGACTATTTAGTTACAATTCTATGGTAACAAAAAAATAATCATAATCAGATTTAAATTTTGAGCCCATACATGGAGCAAAAGTATGAATAAGTTTTTTCCCGAAATTTGTGAAACCCTGTCCCACATAACACAATATGTTTTAAAAAGTCCGTTTGTAGAACAATATTTATAAATGAAAGGTTGATAAAGTGTTGTATGAACATTTAGGGAAAATATTTTTAATACTGTTACGCATATTTAATATTTTTGAAAATATCACGTAAATATTTTTCAACATTTATTTCGCAATTTTATGTTAATATTATTTCCTAATTATTGTTAAATTATTTAATATTATTGTTAAATTAATTAACAATATTAAATAAATAAATTTTATAAACTTATTAAAAGTTTTTCTGTTGTCTGAGGCTCGGCCGCTAAAGTCATCCACAAATCAGCGTTAGTTCGGCCATTTTTACTTTGTTGAGTGTGATTCAAGTGCGACGCTAAGTTAAAATAATAAATTATAGAGAAAATCCTTACTGCTAGAGGTAGGTTAGGGTGCTTCAAAAAATAAAATTTAATTTTTTTTTCGCTCTTACCCTCTCAAATGTTTCTATTTAATATTAAAAAATCCTCACCAAATATGGGCGTTCCAGCTAAACTCTAAGAGGTCGCTGTTTTTATTTTAGTTTTCCATTTAATTAACAAGGAAAAAAATAATTTTATGTTTGGAATTTTATACCTCTGTATCAAAGTAACTTATGGCAATGATCAATGCAGGTTCTTATATAAAATGTAACGCTCTACAAAAAAGGTCTCTTATTATTTTTCGATAAATTTATTTCTTCAAATTTTCTGGTTTTTTTAATTGTATGGTACAATTAGCAGACGGGAGGTGAAAGGGGGCAAAACAATGCAGCGGGGGAGCAAAATGGGGTACCCAAAAAATTTTGTAAAAAAATTTTTTTTAGATTGTTTTTTTCGGTTTCTAAATTATTTGAAAATTTACTCACAAGTTCACTCTTTTAATCGAAAATAATTATTCTGAGCCTGTAGAGCGAGAAAAAGGATGGTACAATTTTGGAAAACTTTTCATATGCTCATTTTTTGCGTACCCCATTTTGCCCCCCCCCCCCCCGCTGCCTTGTTTTGCCCCCTTTCACCTCCTGTCTGCTACCATAAAATTAAAAAAATTTGATGTTATCAAACTTTGACCTCGAATAACTCTAGAAGAAATCAATTTATCGAAAAATAATAAGAGAGCTTTTTTGTAGAGCGTTACATTTTATATACTACTTTTATATAGAAACTGCAATGATCATTGCCATAAGTTACTTTAATGCAGAGGTATAAAATTCCAAACATAAGGTTATTTTTTTCCATGTTAATTAAATGGGAAACTAAAGTAAAAACAGCGACCTCTTAGAGTTGAGCTGAGACGCCCATATTTGGTGAGGATTTTTTTATATTAAATATAAACATTTGAGAGGGTAAGAGCGAAAAAAAAATTAAATTTTATTTTTTGAAGCACCCTAAGGTACAGTTGTATTCATTAAAAAAGCGTACAAGAATTAGAATGAGAGATAACTGTCAACATTATTGCGTAAAACCGGCTTTCCACTGACTTAAGTCATTATAACTGACAGTAGAAAATAAAAATGCCTCGTCTGTTAAAAAGGCTCAAATAGTATCAAGAATCGAAGAAGAATGGTCAATTCCTACCGTGGTATAATAGAAATAAAAAATCTATATTAAAAATTAAGCCACGCTGGGAACAGGAAGATTTACTAAACCAAAAAGTTGGTTCAGGTAGTCCCAAAATGTCCACCCCTGAACAGGATGCTGCTTTTTGGGATATCTGAGGATTTATGGGAAACTATACAACTATACTATACCTACTATACAGCTGGGAAGATATTAATCCAAATATTGTATTAAATTTAATTCAGTTCATCCCAAATAGATTGGCTCAAGTAATAAAAAAACACGGATGTATGACTAAATATTAAATTTTTTTTAATGTTTGTTTTTTTTTTTTTCATTTCTAAAAGGTCATAATTTTTGTAATATTATTTAATTAACCTACGACGTCAATGCTCTTTATAACCTATAGTAATTATTTTAATGACTTATGTCAGTGATAAGCCGGTTTTAAACAATAATATTATTTTGACAGATTTCTCTCATTCTAATTCTTGTACGCTTTTTTATTGAATACAACTGTAGGTATGTATTATATTTATTTTTATTGCTTACATTATTATTGCTATTTATGAATGGCAGTGTACTTAACCGCGGAGGTACCTTACAATTTTATTGCCACCCTATTGAAGACGATTATTCTATCGGTAAATTTCTTATTAACAAAAAACAAACATAAACCTAATAAAATCGCTTGAAAACCCAAAAAAATATTTTTTTTTAATTTTTAAAAACAAAAAAAGTAATTTTCCCGAGTGGGATTGAACTTTTAGCCAAAGGCTGGCCCAAGCTTAATTTATAAAAAGGAAGTAAAAAAGAAACTTAAAAAGAAAAACCTAGACTGTAGAAAGAAACATATTATTTTATTTTGTTTTTACTTTTATTTATTTCGATTATTTCTTTTTTTTAATATTTTATATTAATACGTACTAAATTTTCTTGTATTTTAGCATGCAAAAAATAGATCTCCAGCTATGATATTCCACTGTTTTAGTATATCTAATATCATAATACCATACCACATCTACTTTTTGAACTTTAAACAAGAAAATTCAGTATACAAAAAAGTATTGAATGTCACACAGCTTTTATCAATATTAAAATATTCATTCAATATTTTAAATATATTTTTATGTTATGTGGGGTGGGGTGCATCAACAATAACAGCAGATGAAAATTCAAACCAATAATTAATAATAAACCATAAAAATAATCTTCCATCCTTTATTAATTAAATTGGATATACTGCATTTTAGAGTCGTAGGGCAGAATTGAAATCATACTGTAGTAAAATATTTTGTTTGGAGTTACAAATTTCGTCTTAATTTTGCACCCTGTATATGCTTAAATTAAAATCTGGATAAAAATACATATACATATGTTACTGAAGAGTCGCAAGAAAATCATACGAACATTTTTCACAAGTGTACATGGTACTATTACTATAATTTTAATTTAATTTCAATGTATTTTTCATGGATAACTTGACAGAATAAATTTTTGTAGTTATTATTGTGCATTTTTCTACTTCAAATTTTTCAATAAAATTTAGTAAAGGGTCTTTTCGTGGGGTGGTGAATCCAGTGCCGTGCTTAGATGTTGTTTAAAAAAATCGCTAGTATGAATTCTTAAAAATTTACTCTTTAAAACTAACATAGTAGGCCTTGTATTTTGTACAAATATGGCGTTTTGCTCCAAAATTACAGTTTATCAAGATCTACACTTTAAAACAAATCCGGTTAAAATCGCACAATAAATAAAGATTTTACAGGGGTGAATCGCAAACAAATGGGTCACACTGTAGATAATAATGTAAAGAAAAAAACAAAATGTTTAAAAAAGATTGGACCCACTTCTTAGGACTACATTATTATTTTAATTTATATTCGCTGTAATTGCTGATGCACCCCACAGGGCGTCACAAATTTCAGTAAATAAACTTTTTCTAAGTTTTATATGCTAAAATAAAATTAAAAATTTCTACGAATGTCAACCTACATTTGAAATTAATATTGCCAATTTCTGGTGGGCGTTTTTTTTCTACGTACTGTGGAGAATGCCGTGCTCTGATTGGTTCATTAATTTTCTTTGAAATGAAAGCCACAAGTTTCAAAAAAGACCCCCTGGATTTTTACAAAAAAAATAATGAAATAAAACACCTGTTTTGGTTTACAATAGATTTTATTTTTAAGTCGAACTATTATACATTATAGAGTTTACAGTTATTGTTGGGGATAGAAAGGGTTCAGTTTTTTTTGGTTGATTTGTTTGATTGTAGTAGTAGTAGTTTACACCGACATATTATTTTTATTTTATTTATTGGAAGAAACGTTACCATCTAGTTTGATTTATTTTTATTCGAAATAATATGTAAAATCGTTCGAAAATTCTCCATAAACATATACAAACTTAATAAGTCTAGTTTATCAATTTTTGTCATTGTATAAAATATTTAACTATAATTTTGATTTTGTGAAACAATGCAGAACCGCCACGTTTCCATTTACAGATACATTTTCTTGGTAAAATTTTGCTCAAAATTATACAGGCAGTAATGAAAGAAAACTCCTTGGCTTAAAATAAGTCCATGTTGTCACAAAGCAAGGTTTAGTTTTCAGATTGTGGTAACACTAATTTTTAAGACGATTATTGTAAAGTGTACTTTTGAATCTGTTCTAGTGTTATGAAAACAAAAACTTCCTTAAAGTTACAACATGTTGGTATATTATAACAATCTCAAAAAATAATTTTTTTTTGAGCAGCAAGGTCCCTCGCTTTAGGACAACCCATCTAGCGAGTAAATGAAGAAACTTACAGGCAAGATAGGTAAAGTGAACATATTTTGGCAAAAAATTAATTACATACACTCACAGGCAAAATAATCGATCCACACAAATTTTCGATGAATTTCAATAGCAAATAACTTGTTTATTTGATGTCGGATTTAAACGAATATTAAAGAATATTGTAGATAAATTAATGGACAATCGCTCACATTTTAAAAAATTACTAAAAAATTGACGTACGTTTATAATATACAGGTTTAAACAAAAAGATGTTTTTTACCATAAGTTTAAGACACTCTGTAGAGTGGCAAAACCGTATATTGTTCTAAATTAAGTTTTATTTATCTATTCTTAACAGTTTTGTTTTTGGTTCACCTCGATATATTTATTTTTGTGGAAAATATGTATTTTTTTAGAAAACATTGCAATTTCCAATATTTTTCTGTATGAAGAATTAAGGTTGCTATGGTCCACCCATAGGCTATGAAGAATGACAGTGACAGTTTTGTTGAATCATCCCATACTTGGACATGTCATACACGGCTTTCAAAAGCTATCAAATTGTTTTTTGCAAATTAATGTTTAAATTTTGAGGTGTCTTCTTACTTTAAAAAATGGTGTTGCCAAAGCCATTAATTTAATCCAGGATGGACGGTCACAGTATTACGTGGCAAGTGTTTTAAACGTCACAAGAAGTAAAGTACAAAGGGCAACATCAGTCGGAGACATTTTTAAAAGTAAGAAGACACCTCAAAATTAACACATTAATTTACAAAAAACAATTTGATAGCTTTTGAAAGCTGTATTTGACATGTCCAAGTATGGGATGATTCAACAAAACTGTCACTGTCATCCTCCATAGGCTATGGATGGACCATAGCAACCTTAGTTCTTCATACAGGAAAAATATTGGAAATTGCAAGGATTTTTAAAAAAAATCCATATTTTCCACAAAAATAATTATATTAAGGTGAACCAAAAACAAAACTGTTAAAAATAGATGTGACTTGATAATTAAAACTTAATTTAGAACAATATACGGTTTTGCCACTCTACAGAGTGTATTAAACTTATGGTAAAAAACATCTTTTTGTTTAAACCTGTATATTATAAACGTACGTGTATTTTTTAGTAATTTTTAAAATGTGAGCGTTTCTCCATTAATGTATCTACAATATTCTTTAATATTTGTTTAAATCCGAAATCAAATAAAAAAGTTATTTGCCATCGAAATTCATCGAAAATTTGTGTGGATCGATTATTTTGCCTGTGAGTGTATTTTACTTCGCAAACCAAGAAAAACCCATCTGTAAACTTCCCGAGAACAGACCTACAGCCTCTCGAAACGTTTAGACAGCAATCGAATAATCTGACGGCTGGTTAGAACCGCTCGGTCTCGACCACAGGGTCGATCTCAGGCCCAGCTTCAGCTTCTTGAGCGTGTCGATGTCGCACTCAGCTTCGCTCAGTTCGGGCCGCTCTGGTGTTTGACCACCTTCACCAAAGGCCGTTTCGGCGACCGATAAGTGCGGCAACATTGCGCGCTGCGAGTTGCTGCGTCCCTGGGCCAACCACCTGCGAGAGAGATAAAAAACACTGTTGTCAAATGTGCTATTAGATTTGATATAAAGTTTTTATGGATAGAATTTTGATTAAAACACGGGTCAACAATGTTTTGTCATAGTTTTATCAATGTAGAATTTGTTTTTTAAGGAGAAAACCTATTTTCTACACTCGCAGGCAAAATATTCGATCCACACGAATTTTCGATGAATTTCAATCGCAAATAACTTTTTATTTGATTTCGGATTTAAACGAATATTAAAGAATATTGTAGATAAATTAATAGACAATCGCTCAAATTTTAAAAAATTACTAAAAAATTGACGTACGTTTATGATATACAGGTTTAAACAAAAAGATGTTTTTAACCATAAGTTTAAGACACTCTGTAGAGTGACAAAACTGTATATTGTTCCAAATTAAGTTTTATTTATCAAGTCACATCTATTCTTAACAGTTTTGTTTTTGGTTCACCTCGATATATTTATTTTTGTGGAAAATATGGATTTTTTATGAAAACATTGCAATTTCCAATATTTTTCTGTATGAAGAACTAAGGTTGCTATGGTCCATCCATAGGCTATGGAGAATGACAGTGACAGTTTTGTTGAATCATCCCATACTTGGACATGTCATACACGGCTTCCAAAAGCTATCAAATTGTTTTTTGCAAATTAATGTTTAAATTTTGAGGTGTCTTCTTACTTAAAAAAATGGATATGTCTCCGACTGATGTTGCCAGAGCCATTAATTTAATCCAGGATGGACGGTCACAGTATTACGTGGCAAGTGTTTTAAACTTCACAAGAAGTAAAGTACAAAGGGCAACATCAGTCGGAGACATTTTTAAAAGTAAGAAGACACCTCAAAAATAACACATTAATTAACAAAAAACAATTTTATAGCTTTTAAAAGCTGTATATGACATGTCCAAGTATGGAATGATTCAACAAAACTGTCACTGTCATCCTCCATAGGCTATGGAAGGACCATATCAACCTTAGTTCTTCATACAGGAAAAATATTGGAAATTGCAATGTTTTTTTTTAAATCCATATTTTCCACAAAAATAAATATATCAAGGTGAACCAAAAACAAAACTGTTAAAAATAGATGTGACTTGATAATTAAAACTTAATTTAGAACAATATACGGTTTTGCCACTCTACAGAGTGTCTTAAACTTATGGTAAAAAACATATTTTTGTTTAAACCTGTATATTATAAATGTACGTATATTTTTTAGTAATTTTTAAAATGTGAGCGATTCTCCATTAATGGATCTACAATATTCTTTAATATTTGTTTAAATCCGAAATCAAATAAAAAAGTTATTTGCCATTGAAATTCATCGAAAATTTGTGTGGATCGATTATTTTGCCTGTGAGTGTATTCTCTCAGATAATTGTTCTGCAACTTAGACCAAAATAAGTTGATTTAGGATCTAAGGAATGTTGTCAAATTTTGACTATCAAGTAACCGCTTGTTGGTTTATACAGGAGTATTACAGCTTGATGTTGTTTCAAAAAACTTATTGTTGACCGTCGTGTTTTCGACTGCCAATTGTTGTTACCTTCGGGTCATAGTGTCTTTGGTATGAACATTGCTATGAGCATGCAACTCTTTCAATTCTTTCGTGTTCATGTACCTGGAGCGGTTCCTACGCGGCAAAGATTTTTGCTCCGACATTGGCGATATGTCCGATGAGGTGCTTGATTGAGCTCCGTGATATATAAAATCTAAAAAACGACGCATACGTCAAGAAATTCTACACTACAGCCTTTAAGCGGGAATACTTTATTTTTTTAAAGAGCTTACGATTTGCATCAATTGTTAAAAACAAGATTAATTCGACGTTAAATAAAAAAAATTAAAATTAAAAGTAATATCAGATTAATTCCTGCTTTTAAAAAATATCCGATTGACACCAATACAAAATATCAATAGTTTTGAATTATTTTGAATTGTGTTATAATATTGGTTTAAATTGTTATCAATTATATTGAATCGATAATTTCAATAAAAAACAATATTTTAATTATATTAAACCGAAACTAAGGTTTTTGTCAATTTCAATTGGGCTGAATTAAGTCCAATTGGAAAATCATTTTGAAACCATTTAACCAAGATTTGAGCTGAATTGAAAATAATTTTGAAATTATGGAACCAAGATTTTAATCAGTTTTATTCGAAATGACAGGTGCTAAAATGAAAACTGTCAAAATGACCGGTGACAAAATGTCACCTGTTAAAATGACTGGAGCCTATTTGACTTGTGTCAAAATGATAGTTCCTGAAATGACAGCTGTCAAAATGACAGTTACCGAAATTACAACGGTCGAAATGACAGTTGCTAAAATGACAGCTTTCATCAGCTTTTACTGAAATATATCATTTTTATTTATATTATTATAAATAGGTACTTTTTTCACAAAAGAGAGGAAGGCAGAAGTCTTACTCGACAAATTTTGTTCAATTGCACAGATAAATCGCGCGTGTTTTACGTAGCAAGGAAAAAAATTAAAAAAAAATTTTAGTACTCGATTTTGATTGATTATTCCTTATATCTTTGATTAAGAAACTCAACGCTTATATGCTTATATAGTTAGGTACGTTATTGTGTGTATTTTATCTAAGGGATCATGGTGAATTATTGTGTTTTTAATTGTAAATAAAATTGAAGAACTAAATCGTTGCATTTTCATGTTTTGCAAAAGGACCTAATTCGGTAAGTACATTTGTTGGTGCAGAATATACTAATGAAAACTAAACCTAATATAATTTATATTTAAGTTTGGACATTTTTAAGAAATTGGTAAAAAATAATTGTTGCACAAACATAACCTTAAAATCGAACATTTTTATATTTGAGTCCTCTAAAAAACAACGACAACTGCATTTTAAACAACAAAATATACTTACGAATTCAGAGCAACATAATATTATATAAAATACATAATATAATGGTATTCTACCGTTGATTTGAGAATTTCTTAATCAACACTTTTAATAATGCTAAATGCTGTTTGAATTTAGACGACTTATTTGTTTGACGATTTTTACTGAATTGAAATGTTTACACTTTTCACGTTAATCATTACTATAATGTGTATTTATTGTATCCAATAGATACAATGTATATTTACAGGGACTGTATGAAATTTATTTCTTCATTCGGATTAACACTGTTTATTGGAAAACCGGTAAAAACTCAACCCAGGATTTCCTCTTGAAATACACCCAACAACACAACAAATCGTGTCACGTTTTTTTTTCCGAGATTTTTTTAACATTTTCCGGCTTTATTCTCAAAAATATTCGTTTGTAACATAAGCGTTTGACAGCTTATTATTAAAGGTTGTATTTTGGTTACGATTAAAACGGCCGAGTGGTGGCGCTACTAGCGATGCTTCTTTAGCGTAGGGGAAAATCAATTAAAATTAAGAGAAATAACGCCGATTGAAATCTTTGTTTAATAGTTTTTAAACTATTTTCCAATTCATACTTGAAATTGACGAAATCTAACGTCGATTTAAACCGATTGAAATCTGAATTCAATAGTGTCAAAATTATTTTCCAATTTGAATTAATTCAAATGAAATATTATTTTCTATTTAAATTTCCAAATCAATATAATTGTAAACGATTCAACCCTAAAGGTGCCGAAACTAAATACAAAATAATTAAAAATGATTGAAACACAATCGTTTTCGCAATCGGGATTTAATTGTTTCTAATTATTTTGTATCATTTTCTTTAAGCAGGGATCAATTTTACAAACTATGTTTCATATTACTTATTCAGATATCCTGTGAAATAACCTATAAAATAGTATAATTTTATTTATTTATTTTGTTCTTAACAATGAATGCAATTCGATTGAAAAAGCAAAGAAATGTAAAGATGCATGGTGAAAACTTTAGATTTTTTAGTTCAAAAATTTATTAAAATTTTGTCCACTAAAATCTCTAAAGTTGTTTAAAAAGGTGCTGTGAAAAAGTACTGAAAGAATAATAAATAAAGGTGTGTATTACTGAAGCAATTACCTTCAAAAAACCTGCAAAAGTAACGCAAATAACGGTCACAACTACTTTTTAGAACTATGTACAGTTTTTGATTTTGTGGATATTTACACCTGATTATTTAGAATTACTTTGCTTAAGTTTTTACATTAAGATTAGAACTTAGACTTTACGTTTGTTTTTTTTGCAATTTTGTTACCATTTTCTGTAATACACTTTAGTGTAATCTGAAATAAAATACCAAATGTTAATAGTATTAATTTGGAAAAATGTTTTTGATTTTTTGTTTAAATTTTTAGTTTTTTTGCTTGTTGGTGAATAAATACAAGGGGGGTCCAAAAATCCACATTATTAAGGGGATAGGGGTGATTAATTACTAATTTGGTATTATATTAATTACGATTATTATAAATTTATTTATTTTAAATTTCTGATATTTATTTAAAATATATAGAAAAAGTTTAAATTAACAAACTAAATGACAATTTTAAATGACGACAAGCTTATATAATGACGCGCTTAAGTGATGGGGTAAAATAAACAATGACAACAAGCTTAAATGACGGCAAGCTAAAATATTAACTCGATCAAATGACAACAAGCTAAAATGACGACAAGCTAAAAATAAAATAATGAAAAGCTAAATGACGACAAGCTTAAATGTAAACAAGCTAAAATAATGATAAACTAAAGTAATGACAAGTTAAATAATGACAATTTAAAATAATAGGTTTAAAGATATTATGACAAATTTGCAGTTGTTCAAAATGAAAAAATTGTGGAAAAAAATCGCACAGTTGTATAAATATACAGGGTGGCCCATCGAAAATAGAAATTACACCCGATATTCAACAGTACTACTGTATCTCCGTAAACGGGGGACATTTTTAAAAGTTTAAAAGATACTAATCAATAAAATTAAATTAAATTTCTTAGCAACCCGCAACACAAATTTAAAAAAAAAGCGCCATATAAAACAAAATTGAATGCCCTTTCAAAAGATGTGGGTTATTTTCAAATTTCTTGTACATTTGCTGTCCCTCAACTTAAATATTTCATAAAAAAATGAGTTTAACGCCATTTGGAACTTTACTAAGTGAAATCAATTGGTTTAAGTGTTTTTAGCATCTATATATTAGCAAAATTGTAAAATTTTAAATTTAACCTTATAAAAAATCAAACTTTTCCCAACAGTACAGAAAAGTAGCTTTCCCACTTGCAATAATATTCACTACATAATGCCTTTTTAAACATCTTAGAGTAAATTAACATTAGGGTGGGTTGAAAAGAAAATGTTTGTTTTTTTTCTTAGCATGGGGGTAGAAATTGTACCTTATAAAAAAAAAATTTTCAAAAGAAAAAAAAAAATTTTCTCAACATCTTGAGGTGGCCTACTCGTTTTTTAAATAAATATTTATTCAAATGGGGTACCCCAACGGGAAATTCTATTTTTGGTCTAAAATCGTGGAAAAACACGGTTAACATGTAAACATTGTAGATTGTGATTTTTTTTCACTCAACTTTTATTCTAATACAAAAAAAGTGCATTTAATTTTTTAATTTTTTACTTAAATTACAAAAACAATGGGAAAAAAAACTTTTTCAACTTTTGACTTCCAATTGGCTTTTAAGGGGGGGACACCCTACAGATTCTAGAACAAAAAAAAGAATTTCCCGTTGTAACTACCCCATTTGATTAAATATTTATTTAAAAAACGAGTGGGCCACCTCAAGATGTTGAGTAAAAAAATTTCTTTTTTTTTTGAAAAAATTTCTTTTTTTATAAGGTACAAATTATACCCCCATGCTAAGAAAAAAAAACATTTTGTTTTCAACCCACCCTAATTAACATCCTCCTTTTTTATATAGTTGAGAATATATTCCAAATATTACAGAAAAAGCCCATTTGTGGTAATATTTAAAAAAACAAGTGGTTAAAATATCTCCTAAGGTTTGGTGCCCTAGATCACGTTTTGGAAATATCTTGAAGCCACAACACGTTTTTTTGTATTTTTTATACCAGCTGCAGCGTGTGCTTTCTCCAGTGTCACAGTAATAAAAAGTAGTAAAGGTACCAGTTGGACTTTGTTTGATTCTGAAAAGAATCCTAATAATGGTTATTTTTATCTTTAAAACAGTAAAGATAAAGGTTATGTTCTAAAACATACATTTTTCCCCTGGATCACATATTGTGTGACCCAGGCGAAATTTATGTGACAATGTGACAATTCCAAAGAAATGAATTATAAAATATTTTTAAAATAATAATAAACTTATAGGACTTATAAGTACGTAGCCAATTTAAAATAATGTCCTCCACCTTTTTAAAAGTAATTTTCCTAGTCAATGTATTTTGCCTCAAAGAAGCTGGAAAAAAAATGTTGGTAGTTCAACGAAACAATATTTATATTGACTTTTTATTATTATTTTATTAATATTACTAATGACTAAAACTTTTAATTAATTTATTGCTCGTTAAATTGGACAAGCTGGGCCCAGATAAAAATCGAGAAAAAACGTTTTTAATACGCATTAAAAGAAAATTTCTTAAACTCACCTTTTTTAATGGACATTTTTTAAATACAAAAAATATATTAAAATATATACTTTTGTATATAAAAAAGTTGAAAAATCGAACATAGTTTTTGCTTTTACTTAGTTTTGTACTGAATTTTTTTTTATAAATAATAAATTCATGTTCTTTTTTTAAACAAATCCTAGTATAAATAAAACCGTAAAAGGATTACTTAATCCTAATAATTATTAACAGCATTTTTATATAAGTTTTTTGACCCAGGGGACCATTTTTTATTTTTTAAGGGCTTATTTAAAAAAATCCAACTACCCACTTATAAATAAAAAAAACAGGTTTGTAGATTATGTTTTTGTTTTTACTTTTTCTTCTTTAAATGTACAAGAATTTTGAAAATGACCCGCTAAGTGGTTGAAGTTACTGTGATAAAATTAATGTGTAAATATGTCCCCTGAAAACAAAGTTGTTTTTTATTTTTACACACAAAGCGGTAAAACTTGCAGGACTGTTTTCGATGAGCCACTCTGTATATTTTTTGTTTAGCAAAATTTTAAAAATGAATATTTTAACAAAATTTTAACAGTAGCATAAATTTAAAAAATGGTAGTACTTCAAAATTAAAAATAGGACCAACCTGCACAGTACTTCAAAATTTAAAAAAAGTGGGAAAAATTCGCACAGTAGTATAAAAATAAAAAATATACGACAAGCTTACTTATATGATGACAATTTGAAATATTGACAAGTTCTGTGTAATAAAAATAACACCGTTCCGTTACCTCAATTAAATAGACGTTTGAACCACCCCTGGTAATTATTCTTGTAATAATTTTGTTTTTGTTAAGTTATGGCGCTAAAACATTAAAAAAAACTGGGATTGGGAAGCAAAAAATTAATCAAAACTAACAATAATAACAGAGCGCATAAAGGGGTTTAAAGACAGCTATGGATAGGTGGGTAGTTTGAAATGTTAAAGTTAGTAGGTTACTCACACTTACTGTGTTTGAGTTTGATGTCGATCTGGTTGGAAGACTCGGTCCGGCTCGATGTGAGCTGGTCCTGGTCAGATTCGCTATCGTCGCTGTCGACGTCAGTCTTTCGGTTGTTCGTTCGGCGACCTCGGTGGCCTTTTGTACTTTGAAATTTTTGCTGAGGAAAAATAAAAGAAAACTATTAAAGCAGGTTTTTAAAAGGGTCTTTTAATAATTCCTATTTTAACGTTGTTAAATCGAACACGATAATGAAAAAAGTTTTTTTTTTTAATTTTGTGTAGATTATTTACGATGATGAATTATCGAGAAATTAATAGTTATAATATTTTTCGCAAGATTTTTTCTTAATTTTTTAAATAATTTTGTTTACAAGGGTAACTTTTTAAGCTGCATTGCATTTCTGCCTAGAAGCTGAGAAAAAAAATCTTGAACATTCATTTGACTAAAAACTAATCGTTTTTTAGATGACTCGTGCCAAAATCGAGGCCAAAATGATGATTCAGGTAATAGATGTCAAAAATGACAGGTGACAGGTGTCAAACATAAGCTTTAACAGATGTAAAAATAAGCCATATAGGCTAAAAGAGCATCGGGCGGTGTTTGATAGCATTGTTGACAATTCAAGAAATGTCAACAATACATTTAAGCATACAAACTGCACAACATTTTTAAATAAATAAATATTTTTTTTACAAAAGAGAGCAAGACAAATTTTGTTAAATAGCACAGCTAAATCGCGCACGGTATTTGTTTTGCGTTGCAAGTCAAAACTAAAAAACTTTGGTTTTGTACTCGATTTTGATTTATTATTCCTTATATCATTAATTAAGAAACTCAACGCGTATATCTTACGCTAGTGTGTGTATTTTATATAAGTGATCAGGGTAAATTAATGCGTTTTTAATTGTAAATAAAATCCAAGAACTAAATCGTTGCATTTTCATGTTTTGCCAAAGGATCCAATACGGTACGTATATTTGTTGGTGCAGAATTAATATAATTATATTCAGAGCTGCAACAAGTCAGTTTTAAAAAGACTTAAATCTTAAGTCTTAAGTCAATTCTAAAATCAAAATGATTTAAATCTTAAGTCAATTCTAAGATAAAGTTCAAATGATTTAAGTATTAAGTCTTTGAATTAAATCATTTTCTTTCAAGTCAAGTCATTTTCGCAAATTCTTAAATCAATATAAAGTGATTTAAGTCATCGTATGACTTAATTCCTTTAGTAAGTCGTTTTTATGACTTAAGTCTATATTTTTTATTTAAATCGTGATCTAAGAGTTAAGTCAATAAAATGACTTGAATCCAAAATTGTGATTTAAATCAAAATAATTACCCTTAATTAAGTCAATACAACGATTTTTTAAATGTTAATAATAATTTTATGGTATTAATGATACTGATATTATTAATCTATTGTAGATACAGATGATAATAAACCACTATGTTAAGAATTTAAAACGATTTATTTTCAGAGCACTTAAAACAAAATAAAAACTTAAAACACATTTTATGAGAATATATTAGACAATAAAAATAAAAACTTAAACCACCTTTTTTAGTAGAGTAGACATACAGGGAGGCTACTTTTTTATATACATAAATGGGTAACTTCTAAACGGTTATAGATTCAAACTCTGTTAAAATAGATAAAAGTTGAAGCATTTTTCTTAAAATCGCTGTATTTCAAAAACTGATAACTTGTTGTTTTGTTAACTTTTGTTAGCTGGTTCAAAATCCATCTAGAAAAAAAATATTCCTCCCTTAAGGGAGTAATGATGGGAAGTTCCAAACTCTCGATTCACGACCGCTCAGATTGTTTTCACTTTGCACTAATCATCACAAATTAGACATAACTACGCACGAACATGACGAATGTTGGCAAACAAAATAACAAAATTATAAATCCCCACTTTTTTAATTCATTTTAGACAGGACATTTTTTAATGTAGCCGTCAAACGGTTCTAAAAAGCTAACTTTACCGCGGCGGTTTTTTTATCCACTAGCGGTAGCAATTGTAGGTAGGAAATTAAAGGAGTTTTTGATCTGCTGCCGCGTGAACCCCTGGCAGTTCAAAAGAAAATGCCGCTGTTAAAAAATTATAAAAAAATATATGAAAAATCTGACTTAAATATTTTCTAAAAAGACTTAAATCTTTTTCAAAAAGACTTAAATCTTTTTTTGACTTAAATCGTTTCTATCTGACTTAAATCGTATGTACTGATTTATAAATGAATTAAGTTTTTTCTATTTTGAAAAAAATATTTAAGTCACAAATCATTTTGAAAATTACTTAAATTTTAAGTCTTAAGTCAGTTTTAGAGAAATAACTTATTACCAAATGACTTAAGTCATTAAAACGATTTAAATCAAAAAAACGATTTAAGTTTTCTGAGAGCTTGCAGCTCTGATTATATTAACATTTTCAAGAAATTTAACAAAAAATAATTGTTGTACGTAAACTTAAAATCGAATATTTTTATATTTGAGTCCTCCAAAAAAACGCCCACAACTGCATTTTAAACGTTAAAATATAGCTACAAATTCATGGCAACATAATATATTAATATTATATATAATACATAATATAATACCGGTTCTTGGTATTTTACTGTTAAGTGGAGACTTTCTTAATCAACGCTTTTAATAATGCTACATGCTGTTGGAATTTAGACGACTTATTTGTTTTATGATTTTTACTTAATTGAAATTTTGTATCTAATATAAAGTGACCATTTGTCCCGGATTTTATCAACATGTCCCGCAAGAGTTAAAGTCCAGGAAACGATTTTGCGGTTAATCACTAGGTTTTTTTACCAGAAATCATAATTTCTTACACAAAATAATAAATCTGACAAAAATAGAATAGAGTTACACATTCGTAAAACTTATAATTGTTCACAAAATAAAAAAAAACAGTTTCAGCCGCTCACGAGTAAAAAAATACTGAAGAAAAATTGAATCAATGAACTGAAAATAAAGTCTCCATTGACAAAAGATTGGTTGAGATTCCCTATAGGGACAACAATTCTTTTAATATTATGATATATATAATATATAATGTATATATATATAATATATATATATATATATATATATATATATATATATATATATATATATATAATAAGAATTGTAGAATTTTGCTTGTGCCTATCAGAAAATAATGCTCCCACCGAACGGGTATTTTCTGGAATAAATATAATGTGGACCTCATAAAAAACACTACTGTCTGTGGAATCATTAAAATGTACATCATACATATGCTGTTTGTAAAATATAATTCTGTAAATAATAATGATGGCCTTCTGCTGAAAATTTAGTCGGCAGAAAAGTATTCGTAAGTAATTAAAGATGTATATTTGTAAAAAAAAATAAAATTGTTTGAAAACGAGTAATTTTCAAATATATATTTGTATATATAAAATTCTGCATTTTGGAATGATGTGCATATTATTTGAATGATGATTGATCTAAACGATTTTCTGTTTTCTCGACCTTCCCCTCCCATTTCCCCCTTCCACCTTTTCCTAAAAATTATTTTCGCCTTCGTATCGACAAAATGCGCCTGCCGCGGACTTTTCCGCTTTTGGTGGATTTTTTTTGTCTTTGTCCCGGATTTTGACATTTTTGATGTGGTCACTTTAATCTAATAGGTACAATTTATATTTACAGGGAGTGTATGCAATTTATTTCTTCATTCGGATTTCCACTTTTTATTGGGAAACCGGTAAAAGCTCAACCCAGGATTTTCTCTCGAAAACACCCAACAACACAACAAATCGGGCCACGGTTTTTTTCCGATATTTTTAACATTTACGTTTGACAGCTGCCTATTAAAAGCTGAATTCTGGTTACGATTATTTTTGACATGCGTCACCTGTAGTTTTTGAAAAACATGTGGTCCTGACCAAATTTGGTTGCTAAAAAAACTTCAATTTTTTTTGGCAACGTTCATGCAAAAATAATAAAAGACACACCAATTCTGATAACATTTATGAAATCAGCCTAAAATGTTAGCCCTAGAAATAAACTTTACTGTAAACTTCAAAATTTTTGTAAACTTTGCAAAATTTTGAAAATTAAAAAAAAATTAAATTTACAAAATTTATTATTTTCTAAAAATTTTAAATTTAAAAAATTTCTAAATTTTTCAAAATTTACCAGTCTCTACTTTCAAATCAAAACTCACAAATTCTGCATAATATTGATGGCATAAAACTGCTGAATTCTTTAATATTAAGAAAAATTATTGATTAAACTCAACTGACTTTATGTGGGTCTGTTATCGAAAACCTCACTTACCGAAGCTGTGGGGGGGGGTCTGACAACTGCTTCATGCAAAATGGTACCTATCTATTTTAAAACGTTCTTGTTGGACTAAACAACTTACGATATTGTAGTAGGGTGAGTTTCGTTGAACAGACGAGGTTTGGGGCGGGGGGGACGCGCATCCCTCCGTCATGGGGTGCTCATGGTACATGAAACTGTGCAGCATGGTATTTTGCGCTAGAGTCGACGGTTCCGATAGCTGGAACGTCGCGTACGGCGATATGTCTTCGGAAGTTTCTAAAAAAAAAGTTTTTATGAGGCAACGTTTTCAACCATTAAATTTGGTCGTGTTACCTGGTATTTTTTCTCCAGCTTGCAGCGCCACCTTGTGGATCGTGGCGTAATATCGTTCGCGTTGAGCCTCGGCGTTCTGTAGATTATCTAGTTGTTCTTTGGCAGCATCATTTTGGCCTTAAATTTTTTTTATCAAAGATGTGTTTTAATAGTATATTACACTACAAGGGCAGAAAGTGTGAGGCTCTCACACTTTCTGCCCGTGTAGTGTATACTATTTTTCTTGCTACCTCGGTCGAAAATACAACCCGGCCGAAAATACGGGAAAAAATTAAATGTGTATTTATGTACCTATCTCCATTTGAAGAGCTTGATAAATAATTAACAGTAGGCCGTGAATTCAGCGGTGCCAATACAGTAAAAATAAAACGTTGTATTTTAATTAACAAATTACTACTTTATAACAAATAAAAGTACCATTAAACACTTAAAACAACATAAAAAGTAAAAAAGTAAAAACATAAATTGTTTATTTGTTGTTATAATTGCAAAATTATGGTTTAAAACTGTCATATTTTTGTGTTTCTCATGTTGGCAGTACGAAATTTGAATGTTAAGCACACGCCTAAAAAATTTTTACTTTCGCTATTAGAGTGTGCGCGTATAGCTTGACCAATGCATAAAACGTAAACTTTCTGCCGTGGAATCGGGGACGAAACAACGTATTTTGAGTCGAGGTAGTAAAAAAAATTTTGTTTAGTACTTACGTCGTTTCATACAGAGTAAAGCCCCGGATACAGAAACGATTATTGCTAGAACTACAACGATTATAGGTGCCATAAACTTTATATCAGAGTAAAATGGATTTGTATCGTTTCCTAGCGTCATCAAATCGGGGGGTGGGATATCTAAAATGAATTTAATAAAAATGATATTTTTTGATGTGCCAGCAAAAGTTCATACCTCCGTCTTTAGTGAGAGTCATGAAAGCAAACTCTTCATTGGAATAACCAGCCACATTGTGAGCTTCAAGTTTTACCACGTATTGCGTAGCTGAAGTTAAACCAGTAATCGATGTTTTGCGTTGTGGTTTTAAAGCGTTTGACACTATTAACAAGTTTAAATTAAAAAAAAAGTAAAAATATAGTCTGTCAAGTAAGAGAGTAGGCGGGACAATTTTGAATCAAATAAAGCTAGGACTTTAGTTTGTCTGCGGGTCTATAAGGAAGCACAGGACTGGATCTTTCTGGAAAATCTTAATAGTAATTGGACACATGGACCATAGTTATTGGACATACAATTTTTATATAAACATAACAACTTTATATCAAATAACATAAATTGTTAAATATTTTTTAAAGATAAATTGCTGTTTTAGGTATTTTTTTTATTTCGTTTTTGTAAAATTTCAGAAGTCAGATCAAGGAATTAGTAGTTACCTTCAGAATCCAGAAAAGGGATAAGGAATCCGAGAAAGAAATATATAAATTATATGATATTTAATATCATATAATTTATATATTTCTTTCTCGGATTCCTCATCCCTTTTTTAGATTCTGAAGGTAACTACTAATTCCTTGGTCTGACTTCTGAAATAGTTTGTTGCAAATATCATTAAGTGTGGTATCTCTAGTTTGTGAAGCATTTATAATGTTAAGCCCGGAACAGGATGATTTATGTATACCTATATCCAGAGCTGCAACAAGTCAGTTTTAAAAAGAGTTAAATCTTAAGTCTTAAGTCAATTCTAAAATCAAAATGATTTAAATCTTAAGTCAATTCCAAGATAAAGTTCAAATGATTTAAGTATTAAGTCTTTGAATTAAATCATTTTCTTTCAAGTCAAGTCATTTTCGCAAATTCTTAAATCAATATAAAGTGATTTAAGTCATCTTATGACTTAATTCCTTTAGTAAGTCGTTTTTATGACTTAAGTCTATATTTTTTATTTAAATCGTGATCTAAGAGTTAAGTCAATAAAATGACTTAAATCAAAAATTGTTATTTAAATCAAAATAATTACCCTTAAGTTAATACAACGATTTTTTAAATGTTAATAATAATTTTATGGTATTAATGATACTGATATTATTAATCTATTGTAGATACAGATGATAATAAACCACTATGTTAAGAATTTAAAACGATTTATTTTCACTTACAAACAAAATAAAAACTTAAAACACATTTTTTGAGTATATAGTAGACAATCAAAATAAAAACTTAAACTACCTTTTTTAGTAGAGTAGACATACAGGGGGGCTACTTTTTTATATACATAAATGGGTAACTTCTAAACGGTAATAGATTCAAACTCTGTTAAAATAGATAAAAGTTAAAGCATTTTTCTTAAAATCTCTATATTTCAAAAACTGATAACTTGTTGTTTTGTTAACTTTTGTTAGTTGGTTCAATATCCATCTAGAAAAAAAATATTCCTCCCTTAATGGAGTAATGATGGGAGGTTCCAAACTCTCGATTCACGACCGCTCAAGATTTACGACTGCTCACGACCGCTCACGACTAAGTACTCCCGATTTACGATTTTTCACGATTTACGACCACTCACGACTGTAATAATTCAAGACTACTCACGTTCACGCACAATCACGTTTGGAAATTTTATTCACGCACAATCACGTTTTTTGTCTTAATTATTTACTTAAACAAACCGACACACCTTGTATGATATAAACACGTCTTTATAATATTTATTCGTCCTTACCTGTTAATAGTTTGTTTCCACTTTGCACTAATAATTACAAATTAGACCTAACTATGCACGCATAACCCGACGAATGTTGGCAAACAAAATAACAAAATTATAAATCCCCACTTTTTTTGCATTCATTTTAAACAGGACTTTTTTAATGTAGCCGTCAAACGGTTCCAAAAAGCTAACTTTACCGAAACTTTACAGGACTTTTTTTATCCACTAGCGGTAGCAATTGTAGGTGGAAATTAAAGGAGTTTTTGATCTGCTGCCTCGTGAACCCCTGGCAGTTCAAAAGAAAATGCCGCTGTTAAACATTTATAAAAAAATATATGAAAAATCTGACTTAAATATTTTCAAAATGACTTAAATCTTTTTAAATTACTTAAATAATTTACCCACTTTTATAAAGACTTAAATCTTTTTTTGACTTAAATCGTTTCTATCTGACTTAAATTTTATGTACTGATTTAAGCCTTTTATTAATGACTTAAGTTTTTTCTATTTTGAAAATTACTTAAATTTTAAGTCTTAAGTCAGTTTTAGAGAAATGACTTATTACCAAATGACTTAAGCCATTAAAACGATTTAAATAAAAAAAAACGATTTAAGTTTTCTGAGAGCTTGCAGCTCTGCCTATATCTAATATTTTTTCGAGTGGTATGTTAAAAGTATTTTCCGAATTTATTAGTTTTGTTGCCATTACTTTTTTATGTTCTCTATCGTGCACTGTATTTAAATTAATGTTATTCTGCAAGATGTCCTCTGACGAAGAAATCACTATAATACTTTTTAAAAATGAATTGGTAAAAAATGTCATAGCAAAAAAGCAGCCACTAATAATTCTCGTCAACAGCAATTTGTATCCAGGACATTTAGAAGTCAATTCCTATGAAATTTTATTCGCTGAATCCGAAAATGTCGTCAAAAGTTTTTGAAATATAATCAATTTTACATATAATATGGAATTGACTATATCTCAAAAACTGCTTAACTTTTATAGTTTTTGACGGTCTTTTCGCATTCAGGGGACAATTTTACATAAGAATTGTCTGGTAAATGTCCGGGATACAAATATAGTATGATATTGGACATATTACATTTTTTACCAACCAGTAATTGGACACTGGCCATTTTACTGTTTATTTTCAGAATTAAAATTAAAACGCATTAAAGTGACAATGTTTAAACCATGAGGAACACATTTATACCACACACTGATCTGAACACTTTTTAGAAATATTTTTTATTGCAATTTAAACACAGCCCTGCTCTTAACAAAAAAAACAAAAATCTTACCACCAAAGTAACGTGCGAACTTTTTTGTCCTTTATTGCACCCTAAATAAAGTAGTTCTATATTATTACCGACTGAGATAGTTATAATTGTATACAGCGCCATCTAATGATTTGACTTTAAGGTAACTATTTATAGATCTTTTGTTTTTACAGTATTAATGTTAATTGTCCAATAACTATAAACTGTCCGATAACTGTCTACTTTACTAAATAAATACTTGACAGACTGTAGAAGTGATGATAATAAGGACCCCCTTACAAAACCTATATCTTACCAAGGGTCCATTGCGACTCTGAGGCTTTTCTGTACTGCAATATAAAATAAAGAATGGGGCAGCCATTATCAGGCCATACATGAAGTCTTAGGGTTACTGAAGTGGAATTGGGGGTTATAAAAGTTGGGGCTGGAGGTACCCCTGGAGGATGTCCCTGAGTACGGGCCTGCAAGGGTAAACTAGCCGGGGAACTACCTATTTTATTATGGGCAGTCAAGTATAGGTGATATGTTGTTCCGCAAGACAAAGTCTAAAACAAAAAATTATTCTCCATCCATTAGTTGAAGAGTGAATAGATAAAGCATACCTTTAATTCGTAGCTAGTTGCATGTCTGGATAAGTGCACTTCATCCAAATCCCCATGTTCTTTTCTGTAATTTAAGGTAAAACCACTAACTGGAGCTCCACCATTATTCCCAGCCTTCCAATGTAACAAAACACTACTACTGGTAGCACTGGTAACATACAATAAGGGAGCTGAGGGTGGTACTTGAACTACAAGGTTATAGGTAACCCTGTCTGAACCCTACAATGCAATAGAATGTATTTAAAATGTCACAAAACCAGAAACCCATTACTTGTCCATTGTCAACTTGACAAGTATAATTCCCGGAATCGGCCAGTTGCAAGTTGGATAAAATCAATTCCCCCGTGTCTAACAGTTGCTGGTTGTGACTTGCACCCCCCTTAAGAATCTGTTCGCCCCTTAACCACTCTCTCCTGGGAGATCCGACAGATTCGCAGCTGAAGGCTACCGAAGATCGCCAAGGACGTACCACTGAGCCACCGAAAGACACTATTCTTGCAGGAACTAAAAAGTAATTTAGAAAAATGATCTTTATCTTGTATAACTTTTCTGGTCGTGTCTAGGATTCTTTAGTCCTGTTTAGTTTTGTTTTATCTTGCCTGATCTCATCATCTCATCTATTCTTTTGTTCAACCCTCCCTAGTCCGTTTAAGTCTACTATATAGTACAGTCATCTTAGTAAAAAAAAAGGGATCAACCTCGGAATCTAACGGAATAAGCTGAATTTTTTTGAAAACCTTTATTTTAGCATTACACACGTTGGCATATGTGACTTTTGAGACAACATTTATTGTTGTCTTAAAAGTCACATATGCCAACGTGTGAGCGGCCTTAGATATTCAAGGTTAAAGGTCGCAAAAATCAGTTTTTTGAGAATATCTCGTTTTCTCTGCCTCCTATCGTATTTGCATTTATTATAAAAGTTGTTTTGTTTACAAAATTTTTATATAGGTCGAACCGTTTTTGAGATAAAGGGCGCAGAGTGTGGAGCGCTTAGCCATACGTACCTTTAGCGCAAGGTTAATCGTGAATCCTAATCTATTATACCGTTTTTTAATTAATTATATAATAAATATTACTAAAATAAAAATTTAATACCTTATACTTATATTTATATTTCTTTTAAATCAAATATATTTTATCTTCATATACTCGTATATCTTATATTTTAATTTAATTTTAATGAAGGATAATTGGATCGGCGTAGGAAAAAATGTTTTTATTTATATCAATATTATTATTATTATTATTAATATTATTAATCTTTATCTTCTTCATCCTCGTCTTCTTCAGGTTGGCCAGCAATTTCAGACTCATTCTCATCATCACTCTCTTCGTTATCATTGACATTAATTAATTAATGTCAATGATAACGAAGAGAGTGATGATGAGAATGAGTCTGAAATTGCTGGCCAATTGCTGACAATTGTCATATCTTCAAAAACTTACTTATATCGCGTTTGTACTTTGCAGATTTTGTTGCCTTTGTTGCCTGCTGCAATTTTACTATATAGTACGTTATAGCGTACGTACAATTTTCGACACTCAATATGAACGTTCACAGAATTCTGTTAAAGTATTTAGGTAGTTTATCTTTATTTCTCTCAATAATTGCTTCTTTTAAAGTCTTTATACCGCGCACAAAAGTCACAGAATCACCTTCAGAAAGTAACTTATTACAAATAAAATACAAATCAGCCATGTTAACCTTTAAAATATTACGAATATTACCTGTCACAACCCTAGACCTATACCTAGGGTCACAACTTGCTTTAAATATAGGTATACCTAACCTTTTTATATATAGCAAGCCCACTATAGTATTTCCAGGTCTGTTATTTTAAAAGCAATATCTGGATCCAAGAGATGACCAGAGACATATACAAGGCAAATTCATTTAATGTCTTTTCTTCTTAAAATGCATTTATCATTAATTAGAATAACATTAGAATATATTTAGAATGATTTACTTCATTATTTAATTATTTGTATATCAAAAGTAAGTAATATTTAATGACTATTTGTTTAAAAAAAATAAATAAAAATGTAAGGTAATAAATTGTTATTTAAGTAATATTTAATAAATAATTAATTAAAAAACGGTATAATAGATTGGGATTCATGATTTACCTTGCGCTAAAGGTACGTATGGCTGAGCGCTCCACACTCTGCGCCCTCTATCTCAAAAACGATTAGACGTATAAACAAATGTTTTAAACAAAATTTGTAGAGAATTTTATTCTCTACAACTTGTATAATAAATGCAAATACGATAGGAGGCAGAGAAAAGGAGATATTCTCAAAAAATTGATTTTTGCGACCTTTGACCTTGAATATCTAAGGTCGCTTACACGTTGGCATATGTGACTTTTGAGACAACATTTGTAATGCTAAAATAAAGGTTTGTACAAAAATTCAGCTTATTCCGTTAGATTCCGAGGTGAAATGCCTAGATGACTGGACTAATAGTCCTATTTAATCATGCCTTGCCTATCAAGGTAAACCTGTAAACTTACCTCTTGGTGTTGCTACTTGTGTCACAACTCTGGAACTTTGCCCTTCGCCAATCCTAGTCGAAGCTGTGACCCAAAATTGGTACTCTATATGGGACTGCACTCCTTTAACCTCAAAATTGTTGTGTTGACTCGATACGGTTTGTTTGGCGTGATCGACTTCTTTTCTTCCATCCATGCTTCTTTTGTAAAGCGTGAACTTGGTGATGACGCCGTTCGGTTCGACTGGAGCTAACCAAGATATTCGTAGGGATTGTGGCGAGCTCACTACGACTTTTATGTCAGCGGGAGGTCCAGGTACTAAAAAAAAATTGGTTTTTAGTTTTAGTTTGTTTTCGTGGGGTTGATGTTGTTTTTTACCGTCTTCCTCTGTTTGGCAGTATGATGGTTGAGTTAACACCCCATCGCCTATTTTAGTGAAAGCTAGGACTTGTAGGCTGTAGTTTGTGTACTTTCTTAAACCAGTTATCACTGTTGTTAGTGCTGTAGTTTTTCTAGTCTCCATTTCATCGTTACCTAGTAATTAAGAAGAACAATTTTAAAATTGATACTTTGGACCTTATAAATGTATTTGTGATATGGGTCATTATACTTTTTAGCCCCATCTACCTCTAAAAAATATATTTTTCACATTTTCATATCCATTCCCTGATAGCAAAATTTGATTTTAAGAATCTTCTAAGAAGATATGACCCGGAATAATGGAATATTCTTAGAACCTTCCCTTATTGCTAAGAATGTTCTTAGGGACTTTTAAAACATTCAATAGATACCCTTTTAATGATGCAATTAGATTCTTAAAAGCTTCTTAAAACCTTCCTAAAAAGCATCCTAAGAACATTTTAAGAATACGTTTTTGGAATGTTTTAGAATTTTGTTTCATACAAATTAGGACATTAAAAATATTTTTATATTTAATTGAAAAATTTTCAATTTATTTTTCTGCTTATTTATGAATCTAGCTCCACATTATAGCTATCTCAATTTAATATTTTTTTAATAAGAAATGTTAGGGACAACTGACAAATGGCAGAGTGCCTTAATAGTATAATGACCCATATATATCACATTTGGACGGTTCTTATAAGTTTTTTGTTTTAAGAGGTACAATATATCAATAACTTTAAATAATACATACAAACTGACCCAAAATTTAGAATCATTGACCTTAAAAACACCAAAACAATAATAATGTCGTTAATGATGTATGAAAACGATAACGGCCCCAGTTTGAGCCCTTGTAGTACCCCCTAACGATTATAAGAATGTTTCACCAATTACGAGGCATGTGGACTTTTTAACAATAAAGTAATTATGGAAAAAATGTTATTGCTCACCTCTCCAACTGTCATCAAGCACAGGTTCATACGTTAACTTGTAACCCTGGAGAAGACCATTACAATGTTCTGTGGGTGGTGGTTGCCAGCTAACTTGCAAGGATTGAGAGGTTAAAGATGCACATCTAACATCTTCAGGGGACATACTGGGTACTAAAACCAAAACAAAATAATTTTCTACAAATTAACCACTGTATAATCATTTGATGGGTATATACAATACATATACATATAATACAATTTGACAAAATAAGATTTATAGAGGCAAAACCAGAAATCCCATTTTGTCAAATTCAAGACCCACAATTTTGCAATAAAACGTTAAAAAAAGATTTTTTGTTGACGGTTGACATTTATGTTTATTTTGACACGCCACATTTATTTCATATTTGGACGCCTTTCTGCAGGAAGGAACCAACCCACAAAACTAAAAAAATCGAGATCTTTAGCCTGTGAACTAATTAAGTATGTAAAATTTATCTGCAAAATAGGTCATAGCCAAAATGCAAGTGTAGTGAAATCTATTAATTATTGAATATTGTCTATATGAATCTATAGAATAGATCCAAGTGGGTTGGATCTTTTCTGCAAAATAGTATTAAATCATAAACATCTATGAATTAAATAAATTTTATCAAATATCAAATTTTGACAATCAAAATAGGAGCAAGCATATTATATAATGTGTTGTTTTGTTCTTCCAAACGACTTTTAAGATGTCAAATGTGCTCTAAAACATCAACATATTAAACTATATTAAAGTTATGGAAGAATGCCGCAAAAAAATAAGATTATAGTTACGCGCTTGAGTCCTGCAGATTTTTACAGCACAGCAGAAATTGAGAAAAAATTAATATGTTGATAAAACCAAGTCATTCTCAATATTTTTAAAAAAAGTTTTTAAGATACATCATATGTTGAGATAGACATAAAAAAACACGTTGGTACACCCACTACCAAATCCTTCAAAGATTTTTTGCTTCTGAGTGGCCAAATGGTAAAAAAATATCTATACCTAAACTACAAGATATAAAATCCGTAATGCATCTGATACCCCAGGATTGTAAACATTTTTTTAGTAGCTTACGAGGTGAGGAGGGGTTGGAAGATGATGTGGACGGATTCGACTTTCAAATAGAAGCAGAAAGTTAAAATTAACTGATATTACCATTTTAATTGTATACAATAAAAAATATTATAATATCAGTTAATTTAAGTTTTAATAAAATTTTGTTTATTGTTTGAAAATAAATAATTGTCGTTTTTCTTTAAATACAAACATTTGACTTATAATCAGATAGTAGTTTCCAAAAATTGCAGAAAGGAACCAACCAACAAAAGCCTATTTTTTTGATTACCTTTACACATAATATCAAAAATTCGAACTGAAGAAATTATTAAATTATATCCCATAAACCTCCATAAGTTCAAAATCGGCATAAAATTTACAGATAATTTTAAAATTATTTAAATATTTGATACCTGTTTTCTCAGTTTCATCAGGGTGTTGGTTGGTTCCATTCTGCAGAAAGGCGTCCATTTTACCCGTCCAGTAATAGTATATTAAAGAACTAATGTCATAAGACGTCATTTTGTCGCACGCGGACAATTTAAAAAACGAGGGACGAAGGAGCAGCGATTTTTTGTAATGGACGAGTGCGACAAAAGGTCTTATGACATGAGTTCTTTATGCTATTTTATCTATTTTGCAAATATTCTATAAAAAAATTAATTTTATACCTTAAATTTAATTTGGTCGAATTTTACTTTAGATAGTTTGTATCACAGTCATTGCAATGAATTGCAATCGAATCGATTTTGACATTAACTGTCAAACCATGGTTTGACAGTTAATGTCAAAATCGATTCGCCATGCCGTCCTTAATTTACTTATTTACAATAAGCGGCTGTTAATGTTAAAGAAGAAAAAAAGGATTTTCTTTGGCGTTAAACAAAATTTATTCCCAGAAAAGTCTCGTAAGTACTAGAAAAATCATAAAAATATTATAACCAATATGCAAAATATTATAGTGTTTAAAGTACTTATAGCCAACCTATGAAATTAAAATTTTGGGCGGGATAAAGTATCTCATTACAGCACCGAAAGCGGTGTTATAATGAAGTCATTATGAACGCAAAATATATAAAAGCAGTTTGTCACAAATCCTTACTGAATATTTGAAATTAAAATTATAATAATGTATAATCGTTACAAAATTGCTTGTTGGAGCACGTAATTATTCTGAAAATAAAGGCAAATAAAAATGTCGCGCTAAATTTACATCGGCTACTGGCGTATAAATTAAAAGAGGCAATAATTGAACCGAACACACAAGTGGAATTCAATTCGTCGATGTGCTTTAATCACGGCCTACACGGAAAAAAATACATTTCTAAATCCAAATATAGTTCTATACTTATAATTTTATATTTGATCCATTAATAATTTACTTAGAAAAACAATACGTTATTATTCATTCAAGTATTTGCTTAATGTTAATTTCCAACTCTTTCAATATTCAATTTAAGTATTTTTTATTTAAACAAAGAATAAAAAATATATTTTATTAAATAAAGAATTGTTCTTAAATTAAGTGAAAATGTTTTCTCTTTTGAAATCCATATAATTCTTCAATTAAGAACTTAAAAAATACTTCAATTAAATATATTAACTATTGCAATAACACTAAATTATACTTGTATAATTATTATTACTTTGAGACAAGTACCATTTTATTGAACAAAGAGTAATTCATCTTTGCCAAAATAACATTATATTTGAAGAGAGTATACTTATTCTTAAATAAAGTGTAAACGTATTGCGACGCAGTAGGCGACAGGCGCAGTAACTGCGTAGTACATAAAGGGAAGGGAGAAGAAACCATTTTGCTAGGTACGCGTACGTGACCACAACAATAGCAGAGACAATAGTGTGTTTTTGGGACTTTTGTGATCCTTTTTCTATGTTTTGTGTGCTAAAGACATGGATGTTTTATTAAAGGAGTGGAATTTCGAATCATTAATTCCAATATTTGAAGGTAAGTTTAATTTCTCATACTTAATTATAATAATACGGGCAACGGGAATAAACATGGAAAAATACCGAGAAAAATTCAAAAAATTATTAAGCCCTATTTGTATGGGTAGCTATTTGGGTATTTTGAGTAAAAACAAACCGTTATTTAATATAATAGGTTTGTTCTAACATCAAATTTCTGTTGGTTTGAGGCTGGTATACGGTAAAGCAGTGCTGCCAACTCTCTAAAATATTTATCCCTAAAGCTAAGTCAAAACCCCCTAAAATCGCCACAATTACTTGAAAATCTCCCTAAACAATTAATATTATTTAAAAAATAATAATAAAAAATAATTAATAATAAAGTACTAAATAATATTCTGTACTTTAATAATTAATTATTAATAATCTTTAATATTCTTTATTCATAAATTGTTTATTACCTACATCAAATATAATTTCGTCTTCTGATTCTGATTTTTTAAATTGTACATGTTTACATTACATACACCTAACATTTTTTGCAAGATACGCCATTTCGTTGCAATGTGAATCTTACCATAATACACAGAGTAGACCATAATACTTCGTAACATTTCAATAGATTGGGTATTTCGCACATTCTTGACAAGATTATATAAGGAGAATGCGCCTTCGCCACTTGCGTTTGAAATAGGTTTGACAAAATTATGTTATCCCAGGTTCTATATTTTTAGACTTATATTTCTTTTATTTAAAAAAATAAATATCAATAGTAAAAAATCCCTAAAAATATAAAGCCCCTAAAAAAATCCCATCCCACTCATTTACCCCCTAAAGTTGGCAGCACTGCGCCAAAGAAGCATCGGGTTTTCGCAACGCGTGCGCCATCTGGTGTCAACATTATTGAAGTAATAGGTTTGTCAACAATAAACTAAAATACAAATTGCACATTATTTTTAAATAAATAAGTAGTTTTTTCACAAAGAAGAGGAAAGTAGAAGTTTTACTCAAATATTTTGTTCGCCAAGTTTGAATTGCACAGGTTAAGAGAGTACATTAATTGTCTTTTTGTGTTGCAGCCTGCAACTTGCAGGTAAAAATTGAAAAATCACTTGGTTTAGTACTTGATTTCGATTTATTAATTTGTATATGCTTAGTTACGTTATTGTGTGTATTGTGATCATTGTGAATTATTGTGTTTTTAATTGTAAAGGTAATTAAAGAACTAATTCGAAGTTGCATTTTTATGTTTTGCCAAAGGATCAAATTCAGTACGTATACCTATTTGGTTGTGCAGAATCAACTAATGATAGCTTTATCTATAGTCCAGTCATATAGGCATTTCACCTCGGAATCTAACGGAATAAGCTGAATTTTTGTACAAACCTTTATTTTAGCATTGCAAATGTTGTCCCAAAAGTCACATATGCCAACGTGTGAGCGACCTTAGATATTCAAGGTCAAAGGTCGCAAAAATCAATTTTTTGAGAATATCTCCTTTTCTCTGCCTCCTATCGTATTTGCATTTATTATACAAGTTGTAGAGAATAAAATTCTCTACAAATTTTGTTAGAAACATTTTTTTATACGTCCAATCGTTTTTGAGATAGAGGGCGCAGAGTGTGGAGCGCTCAGCCATACGTACCTTTAGCGCAAGGTAAATCATGAATCCCAATCTATTATACCGTTTTTTTAATTAATTATTTATTAAATATTACTTAAATAACAATTTAATACCTTATATTTATTTTTATACATTTTTTATAACAAATAGTCATTAAATATTACTTACTTTTGAGATACAAATAATTAAATAATGAAGTGAATCATTCTAAATATATTCTAATGTTATTCTAATTAATGATAAATGCATTTTAAGAAGAAAAGACATGAAATGAATTTGCCTTAAATATGTCTCTGGTCATCTCTTGGATCCAGATATTGCTTTTAAAATAACAGACCTGGAAATACTATAGAGGGCTTGCTATAAATAAAGAGGTTAGGTATACGTATATTAAATTTTAAAGCAAGTTGTGACCCTAGGTATAGGTCTAGGGTTGTGACAGGTAATATTCGTAATATTTTAAAGGTTAACATGGATGATTTGTGTTTTATTTGTAATAAGTTACTTTCTGAAGGTATAAAGACTTTAAAA